GGGTCGCCATTTGTACGGGTTCGGTGACCGCCCTCAAGGGTCCCTCAGTGGAATCACGGCATCTTGCATTGTGCGAAGGCGTGAGGAGATTACAGTGGCCCTAGTGGCTTCTTGGGGAGCATTGTGCCTCCACACCGCTCCAAACGGAGATTAGCATCCGCAAGGGTGTGAACTTCGGGATACATCGTCGTCTCCGCGTGCCTCGGTTATCTCTTACCCGAGCCCTTTACTTATGCACTTTACTTTGTGATAGCCATATTGTTCTTTTTCATATATCTTGCTATCACATAGTTGCTTATCTTGCTTAGCATAAGTTGTTGGTGCACATAGGTGAGCCTAATTGTTTTAGTTTTGTCCTTGACAAATTAACCGCTAGGTTTATTCCGCATTTGTTCAAGCCTAAACTGTAATTATTTTAAAGCGCCTATTCACCCTCCCCCCTCTAGGCGACATCCTCGATCTTTCACCTGCTTTGTTGAGGAGCCATTCCTCGATGAGGACGACAACCCCGGAGTGCGAGGGTGTCACCATGTTCCAAAGCTGGCGCCTGCCGGCGCGCGAGGCCCATGGCTTGCCTATCACCGGAGTTGTGGAGGAAGAGAAGAGGTGAGGACGAGGACGTGCGGAGCAATGCAGTGAGTGCGATGTGGACGGCGCCCGAGCATAGCTTATAAAGCCTTGGCCAGGCCATGCGAATGGACGGTCAATTGCTTCAGTGCGGTGCAGCGGCCGGAGTTGGTTCCTCGGAAAGTTGCGTCCACATTTAAGCGGCGGCTCCCGAGAGGTCACATCACGCCGCAGCAATGCCGACTGCTACGTGCTCTGGGCCAGCATTGATTTCGAGAAGCATGAGTGCATCAGAAGGGAAGCGTGGGAGAGGCGGGTGGGGTAGTATGGTGGGCCAGGTTAGTCAGTTGTGGACGTGACAGTGGTTTGGATGCCTGCAAAGCCCCTCCCCCCTCCCCCGAGTTTGTCTCTGGCTTGCAGGATAAAACACGTCCGGACCATCGAGCGGACCGATATAGGACCGCGTTAGATGGCGAAGCACGTCCGGACCGTGCAGTTTGAATGGTTGCGGGCGGTTTGAGAGTCCGTGTTGGAGATGCGCTAATTTAGTTTGCAGTTTTTTGGGTCTTGGCTCTATCTGTTAAGGAAACTAGATGATGCGATACAAGAAACATGATAAACAAATGCATAAATATATGCTAAAAACCTAAAACTATTGCATAAACAAATTTAGGATTGCTCTGGGTTTATATTTTAAAACAATAAATTATACTCCCTTCGTTCCTAAATTAAGTCACTTTAGAGATTTAAATATAGACTACATACGGTTGAATCTAGATGTATTTTATAGTGTAGATTCACTCATTTTGCTCCGTATATAGTCCATAGTAGAATCTCTAAAAACAGTTATGTAAGCTGTATTTGTTTTTCAAAAGTCAAATGAGTGCATGTTTGATCGAGATTTTATAAAAATATATCAATATCCACAATAGGAAATTTATATCATTCAATACATCATGAAAAGTAGTTTCATATTTTATCTATTAGGTATTCTAGATGTTGTTATTTTATTCTATAATTTTGGTCAAATATTCAAATGGTTGACTTGCACGGAAACTGATACACCTTATATTCTGAAATGGAGGGAATATTTAGGAATGGAAGGAGCAGTGGGCCTGCGGCGTGAGGATGAATTGCTTTGTTGACCGTAGCATATTGTGTACTATAAGGGCATCTCCAATAAATTGTATGTTAGTCTTGTTGGTAAAATGTCCATGTCATCAACCAACAAGTTATGATACAACTACTCCAATAGGTTGTATGTAAGCTATCCAATAGATGATGAGAAAATAAATGTGATTGCTCTCTATTTCACCTTGGAGCTTGTGCAAAGGTTGTTGTTATTCTACATACAACTTTGCTCTCTCTCTATATTTATTGCATGCCACATCATCACTATGTCCTAGGTGGCAAATTTACCAACACCTATCTTACAACTGTTGGAGATGCCCTAACAGTACTATAGCTGCATTGTAGCAGCCTAGGGCTCTGGGCTTGGCCAAATCCTGCGTCCGCCCCTGGGAAGGAGTATGAAGCATTTGAGGTAATGGTATAAAAATGGAAACTCTTGAATTGTAGTAAATGGGGTACCATTTAAACGAAAAATGTGTCACATGATATACGTATATTTGCTCTAAGTGTCCAATGTATATAGTACCATTTATGCCTACACAAAAATCAGTGAAACAATGGCAACTGTCTAGGAATTACTAAACAGTATAACTAAGCTAGCTAGGAGCCTTCACAGCGCTTCAAGTCTCTCAGCCACCGGATCACGCAGTTGAACGCACCTGATTTTTCAGTCATTGTGCCAATCGCGTCCCCTGCATCATGCTCGGGTCGCCGTATCTGGGCCGCTGCTCCGCAGACCTACTTGGGCTCTCTCCTGTTAATTGGGCCAACCAACTGCGAAACACTATAGGCCCATAAAATAAGAACACAATTCCTGTGCGATGCTTCCCGTCTCTCTCTCCGACCTTGCGTGCCAGTACTTTTCTTTTTCCCGTCGCCGCCGCCCCCATCCCACCCGTTTGGCTGTTCGACGCCATCGTGGCGGCGTTCTTTGGTACTGGGGGTTGACGGAGCAGGTATAAATCCACCGCCCTCCTGCCCACGTTCCTTCCCATGATCGAAACCTCCTCCCCGTCCTTCCTTCCCTCCAACCATCCATTGGCTATGGTGTCTCTACTGCTGCGAGCCTGCGATCATGTAAGTACACGTGATCTTTATGGAATACCTTTACCTTCATATTGGAAAAGGTAAGAATATATGTATATTGATATACCTGTGTTATTATCAGCTTAGCACTAGCTTCAGTTTTAGAGTTTTGATGTTTGCTAGGAAGTCCAAAATAATTTCTGCTTTGAAGGTCACCATTTAGAGTACACTGCACCACAAAGTTGCCATTCAGAGTTTGGTTCTCCCTCCCAGTCAATTATTTATAGCACAATTTTTTGCTTGGTGTACTCTTTGAATGAGTAGACTAAAAATAAATACAATAACTGATCTGTACTGCACTATTGCTACATAACTATGACTGAGAGAAAACATAGCTGAATAAACGTGGTTGCAGTATCCAGCTGATATACATCAGTTCTTGTCGCATTTACATGATTTTTTCAGCATCATGCAGCTTAACTTAGGTTCAAACACCTGAATAACTATGTTGTTTCGGCTAGCTGAAAGCAGATATATAGTTCAAAGTCCCAGCTGTCATATTTTTTGTATGCTCCATGGAGAAGATACTACACATGAATTCTGTGACAAGTCGTCCTATGGTTCTTTGGTATGTTGTGTGGTGCTTCCTCTTATTTTTTTAATATGTCCATGTTGATGTACATAATCATATACCCAAGACTTTGAACAAACATAGAACTTCGAATGCATCACATCTGTATTGAGGCACTGTAAGTCAAATCTCACATTCATTTTCTCTTTATTCTTCCTAAAATATTTATCATAATTGCGACAAGATAGACAGGCGCTGCAAGGCGCGCCTTTATGTTCTAGTTTAAGAATAGAAGATAATGACCTTTGGCAACAGACTGTGCAGGTGTTTGCCAAGTCTGGGCAGGTCGGTGTGAACGGCCCAAGATCCCCTCCCCCCCGAAGAACTCAAGTGAAGGAAGTTCTAATTATTGATTAAGTTGACTATGATCTTCGTGTGTGCTAATGTAACTTGGCCATGGTTTTTATTTGACTGTGTATATACCTGCCCACAGCGTATCATCATCGTTGCACACACATGTTTATGTTGTGGTGCATGTTCACCGACCGATTGATCTATTTGCATGTGTAGGTCCTTGAGCGGAGTATAGATTAATGGTGAACCGACGGCTTGGTGTCACGTCTCAAGGCAGGCTAAACAAGGACTTTAACATTAACCAAGCACGCGCGCGCGTGTGTATGTACTACTCATATGTAGGACCTGGTGTGTGTTAAAAAAGAAAAAAATAGGACCTGGTGTTGGTTTGGTGCAATGCTACCCCAGATAGGCAGATAGTCAAAGCCGCGCGCTATATATATCGATCATCATCCTATTCCTACGTAGGAGCTAAAAACAATTGTAGCATGCGTGTGCATCCTCACACGCTTTTCCTACTTTCATAGATGGCCCTTTTTATTTTTATTTCTATTTTGGAAGTGATGTCCCGTTTGATTTGGAACGCGAGACTTGCACACAAGGACCTACTAACTACGTACATGGCCTATGTAATCTAGTCATAGTCAGGGTGGTTGCGTTTCCTTGTCTACGTAGAAAATCCTCATCTGGTGCACATACGCGCATTCCCTTTACAAACCATCCCGAACTGAAAACCTGTTATTACAAGCATTGCAAGACAAGACGACACCGGGACCGGGAGGGAAAGCAGAGCAGAGTGGAGTAGAGGCACCGTTGTTGTACACTTAAGATATTCGTTAATTATTCCACAGAAAAATCGCTTTCCTTCTGGAACCGCGAGTGATCCCCTCCGAATATTCAGGTCTCTGTCAAGCTCATGAGTTAACCCGTACGTGTTCTCTGACGCTTTCTTCCTTTCAAGACGACTTGCTTTCGAGACAGACGACGGCGTTTGAGCTAGCTTAATCGATCAAATGGTGCAGGTTATGTTAAAAAGGAGAAGCTGTTTCTTGAAACACGAGAAAAAGAAACGAAATCAAACGGCGGCAACCCCGACTCGACTCGCAGCCTCGCCTCGTCTCAAAAGCAGCACCAAAAAGAAGTACCCCAGGTTTGAATTGAACAGCGTGTGGCGACCGTTTCCCACGTGTCCCTTTCGGTTTCGTCTCCACGCGCTACCTCCTCCAGTCTATACATAAGACCCAGCTAGCAGCTCATCAGCTCACACTCTTCTCCCGTCTCGTCTCCCCGATCGAGCTTCAGTCAGACGCACACCTCACTGGCGAGGCGCGGCGACCCAGCAACTCCACCCATGGCGGACCGCGTCCACCCCGCGCCGCTGCTGCCGCTCTCCACCCCACCTGCTCCGCCAACCGACAACAGCGACGCGGCCGCGGAGACCGCGCCGCTGCGCTCCGCAACACCGGCAGCGGCGGCGGCGCCGGGCGCGTCGTACATCGTGCATGTGCCCAAGGACCAGGTGCTCCGGGTCCCGCCCCCGGACCGCGCGCGCAGGTACCGCAAGCTCGCCGCGCGGCCGGCCCGGCGCCGCATGCTCCGCCGCGCATGCTGCGGCGCCTGCTGCGCGCTCCTCCTCCTGCTCGTCCTCGCCGCCGCGTTCGTCGGCGCCGTCTACCTCGTCTTCCGCCCCAGGGCGCCCTCCTTCACCGTCACGTCCCTCTCCGTCGCCGGCCTCCTCGACCCCTCCCCCGCGCGGCTCGACGCCGCCGTGCGCGCGGACAACGGCGCCAACAAGAAGGTCGGCGTGGACTACCGCGGCGGCGGCGAGGTCAGCGTCTCCTACTCCGGCATCCTCCTCGCGACGGGACGGTGGCCGGCCTTGTACCAGGCGCCGAGGAACGTGACGCTCATCTCGATGCCGCTCACCGGGAGGGACGGCCTGGCCCTCACGGACGACCAGAGGGCGCGGCTGGCGGAGCAGGCCGCGGCGGGCGCCGTGCCGCTGACGGTGGAGGCGCGGGTGCCGGCGCGGGTGAGGCTCGGGAAGGTCCTGCGGACGTGGACCGTGGACGTGTGGGCGCGGTGCGAGGTCACGGTGGACAGGATCGACGGCGAGACCACGGCCGCCAACAGGGGGTGCACGGTGAAGGCCAAGCCGCTCTGGTGGTGGTGGTGATCGCCGGGGCCAGGGCGGCGTGAACCATGCACGGAGGCTCTTTGATAAGATCACGCTACACAATCAATTCGACTATTACTGCCGGTGAAGTGGATTAATTCGTGTGATCTGGAGATTTTTTTTGGGGGGATGCATGCAAGTAGTACAATCAATCAGCAGAGCATTCTGATCAGTTGTAGATGCATGTATATATGCTTCTTCTTGCATAGAAATAAACTACATGTCGATGAACCCATGGTACAAAAACCAGTCATTTATCATTTTACAGTTACGGTTGGTGCTGTCCACGTTCATGTAACTGCGGTAGCTGAAACTTCTAACACTGTTTTGTCAGCAGTGGATGGCGAAAGCCTCCTTCGTAGTACCACTTTAACCTCACCAACAACGCGAAAATTGATTAACCTCACCAACTAGTTTCTTTCGTGGGATGAATACGGTGTGAGTAGAGACATAAGATTTGCACGAATAAGGGAAGAGGAGTACCTCTTTCTGCTGGCAGTGTTGTGTTCTCCTTCTGTTTTTCCAACGATCTTCTTGTGATTCGCTGGAAACGAGAAGTTGTGGAGGACGGTGGAGCCTTGGACGAACCCATGGCCAAGTTTTTGAGTGTGGTGCGGTGGCCGTCTATCGGCAACGGGGAACCAGATCCGAGGCAGCGAACGACGGGTAGCAGGAACAGCTTCGATGCGATGGACGGTTGCGACAGTGGAGCGGCAGCAGTGAGGCGTAGGACGGCGTGGTCGGAGTGGTTCTGGTACGACACACGTCGGCGTCGGTGTCGTGGAGGCAGCTTTGCCTCGGCTTCAGCTGCTAAGTCCTTGAGGGCGTTGTAGTTGCGGTTGCGTTGGATGACGATGTCGGGATACCGGCTTCGACATGATGGAGGAGGGCGGCGGTGGATTGGCCGCTATGGGGTGGAGGACGGAGGAGGCTGGGGTTTCGCGGCTGGTGGGGAGGGCGTTTTGGCGCCCACGGAGTATGGATGGGGAAACGGAGGGAGGCGGGGAACTAAGGGGGAACAATGTTTCGGTTTGAGACGCGCTTGTTTGAAATTTGGGGAAAGTTACAAACTTTGCCCCCATCTAAAATTTCAGACATATTGCGGGTTGGGGGTAGGACAGTAATCTCAGGTGTCCCAAATGTGGTCGGGATAGATTTCGGCCGAGCGCATGCGTGTTTAGGCGCCCACAGCGTATGAATGCTTCTCGGAGGCGGTTGAGACTGGCGTCTTGGTGAAGTTACAAACCTACCCCGGTTTAGACCTTTGGACATCGGGCCGATAGGCTACACAGGCCAGACTCAGGACAGTAATTTTCTACCACCAAACATTAGTCTCGCGTGGTTTTGGGTGACCAGAGGCCTATTTGGCATTTTGTTCAATATTTGGGAGCAAAAGCATTAACGTTTTCGGTTCTCTTGAATTGAACTTTCAGGATTTGTCAAACTTCACAAATCTTTACTCTTGAAAATCCTAAAGCTACGATTATTTTGGAATGGAGGGGGTACATTTGAATATATATTGTACACGAGTATATATTAAAAAATATGCAACTTACCTCAGTTCATGCATGGTTCCAGATATAATCTCCTTGGTTGCAAAAAAAAGTTAGACATGTGTATGAATATATATAGCATGTTCAAACGCACAACAAAGATTGATGCCCCCTTTTACATCTGATTTACAAATGCCATTATCTCAGGTTCAAATAGATGAATGCACTTCCTATGAATTCGAATCTTCGAAACCCCCTTTATGTTGAATTCGACATGTATTCTATTTCGTAGCTAGCAATTTGGAATGTATCCATGCAAGTGACAAATGTATAAAGTGCTTCACACTAACAACATGGAGTGCACTAATTAATGTTTATATATGAATTGCAAAAGCATCCATTGCCTGTATTTCAAACCGCTCTCACTCTATGGATTGATAATATGAAATAAAGACATGCACATGCTAGAATTCAATAGAGTATGGGTGTCTGATAGACCGACTTTTGTCCATACGCAATTTGCAAAATTCATGATCTCATACAAAAATAATAATACCATTTATATTTTAATTTAATGCGTAGAACCACCTTTTACACATAGATGCACTATGCCTCGGCCCGTTCTCACAAACGTGTTATATATCTCTCTATCTAATGCATAAGTGCACACACTTTATATGCATCAGCATTTCTCTTTCACACATGCTCACAATCTCTCTCGGGGTGTCTCATGCACATGCTCTCTCTGTTTCTCTCACTCTCTCTTTCTGACTACCATGGCTCTGTTTGGATCCATGGGTTAGAGTTAGTTTGGACTCAACTAACCCAAAAAGATCCAAACAGGAGGGTTAGTTTGGGTTAGATGCATCTAACCCATCCAAAAAAACTAACCCATCCAAGATTTGCTTATTTGGGTTAGTTCTTCTCGGGACCACTAAAAAACACTTTTTTCTCTCGCTCTCCCCACAGCAGATCCTGATGAAGCTATGTACCTAGGGTAGGGTCATGGACCTGTCCAAGATACCCTCCCCAAGGACATCTCTAGAAGAAACCACCTTTCAATCGACCCGGAAGTGTCCCACTCAACGGACTCGAAGACACTCGACCATGAAGCCAACCACTCGACCGCCAGGAGACCTAAAGTCACTCTGCACGCAAATGGTTGATCATTAAGTAGCTTTTATGATCATCATAGCACTTTATTTGTGGCGTTACTAGTAACGCCCGATCTTAATGTATTTTAAACCCTGCATAACTGAGGGCCGGAGGGGTCTGGCGGACTCTATATATGCCACCCCCCTCCTCAGTGTAAAGGGTTCGCACCCCTGTAACACATATACATATAATCCAGTCGATTGCCTCCGGGATCCGAGACGTAGGGCTGTTACTTCCTCCGAGAAGGGTCTAAACTCGTAAACCTCTTGCGTATACAACTACTCCATAGCTAGGATCTTGCCTCTCCATTCCTACCCCCCTATTCTACTGTCAGACTTAGAACCACGACAGTTGGCGCCCACCATGGGGCAGGTGTCTTAGCGACTTATTGGAGAAGTTGCGATTTTTTCCGATCTCCTTCATCATGGTTTCAGGTAGAGTTTTGGTTGAGGGCCGCGAGATCCGTCTCGGCACGCTCACGTTCATCACCGACGACTCCGCTTGGCTTCAGGAGGCTCCGCTCGACATCGACGCGCTCCCTGTCTGCGGGGCGACGCACTTTCGCACGTGTATCCGCGGCGTCCTCTTGCGGCAACCGTCGACCCAGTATCGGTCGGCCCCTGTGTCGTCCTCCCTCCCAGTCTCCCGCCGGCGCAAGCGCTCCGGTCGGTCGAGGCTTCAGCGGTGGGTGAGGCACGCGGTGGCTCTCCAGTCGGCCACCCCCTAAGTCGCGGCGATCGAGCCCGACGAATCTCTCTACGGCCTGTTCGACTGGCTCCGTAGAGACTGCATCCGAGTGCGGCAGCAGTGATCCAGTGGCGGAGGTTCTGATGGTCAATGGACCACGCAGTCCTCCCGGCTTTCCCCGCGCCGACGGAGGCGACGGCGGAGGCGATCCGGCGCAGGTCCACGAAGAGTATCTCCCCGAGCCCCTCACTTCGCTGCAGAGGGAAGAACTTCGCCGCCGGAACATGGATGCGCTACACAGTCCTATCGTTGGAGAAACCCCCGAGGCTCGTGCCTTAGAGGACGCGCGCTTGGCCAACTTGGCTGAGCGCACTCGACTAGAGAACCTCCAACGAGCACTCGACGAGCGTGCGCGACAACGGGTTCCAGAATCTAGTCGGCGTCAACTCTTTCCACCACCGACTCAGGTATATCGAACTCCGATTCAGAATCTGGCAGCTGCAGCCCGTATAGCAGAGTCAATTCAGCCTTCCGAGTCAGAGGCTGACAGAGGCTTGTTACAGATCAGAGCTTTACTCCGGGCGGCAGGAGATCAAAATTCAGCTATATCACAGTCACAGAATAGGATCCACAGCACATCCGTCGCTGCAAATATAGTCCAGTTGGCCCATAGCCCAAGATCTCCCCCGAGGCGTGAGGGACACGAGGACTGGCGTGATCAGTACATGAACCGTGAGCAGTATGATCACCGACTCGATCGCGATGGTCGACATCGAGTGCCCACCCCTTCCCCAAGGAGCGGATCATACGCGCCTCGACAACAAGATGACAGACGCCATCACAGTGTTGGGCGAAGGATTCCAGTCGACCCCAGAGAACCAGGCTTTGATGCAAGATTCATTCTCGTTCAAGGTTTGGTCGACAGGAACAGAGCTCACCGAGAAGGTCATGACAGAGATGTGCCCACCAGCAGTAGAGTACACGTCTCAGGTCCAGAGTGCTTCAGCAGAGCCATCAGGGCCGCGGTGATTCCTCCCAACTTCAGGTTGGCGACTGGAGTCAGTAAGTTCACCGGTGAGTCCAAGCCCGATACTTGGCTTGAAGACTACCGAGTGGCTGTTCAGATTGGCGGCGGCAACAATGATGTGGCCATGAAACACCTGCCTCTTATGTTGGAGGGCTCGTCCAGAGCATGGTTGAATCAGTTAGCACCCAACAACATTTACACTTGGGAAGATCTTGCCCGAATGTTTGTCAGAACATTTGAAGGAACTTGCAAGCGACCAGCAGGGTTGACAGAGCTGCAATCTTGTGTGCAAAAGTCGAATGAAACTCTGAGGGATTACATCCAGAGATGGATCACATTGCATCACACGGTAGAGAATGTATCTGATCACTAGGCAGTCTGTGCCTTCAAGGAAGGCGTTAAGTACAGAGAGCTAAACCTAAAATTTGATCGAACCAGAGACATGTCTCTGAGTCGAATGATGGAGATTGCCACCAAGTATGCCAATGGTGAAGAAGAGGATTGGCTTAAGAGTGGCAAGCACAAGTCAATCGCCCATGAAACCGGAGGAGGGAACTCCAGTCGGAAGCAGAAGCGGAAAGCCGAGCCAGCTGCTCCTGGAGAAGCCTTGGCCGTGACTCAAGGAAAGTTTAAAGGGA